CGGCGCAGTATCGATCTCCTCTGCCAGGGTTGCCAGAAGTAAATCTGTGTTTGTGCCAAAAAAATCTTTTCATATTAATTTTTTTCCAGAAAATCTGTGATGATATCTGTGATGATAATTTAAAAATTTCCTTTGAAAGTGATTGAGCCTTTCTTCTGATAGAGACAAAAAATAGATAACAATATATGTATCATAAATTCCTTATGGGTTGGCAAAAAAGAATACCTCTGACAGTTCTCATTCTCCTTTTTAGTTCCGCAAAAATAACATGCTAATATATATAAGTTGGTGATCGTAGAATAAGTGAAAATAATGTTTTGTTTTTGAACATCTCAAGTTTAATTTTTTTAATGTTTGATCATATTTTAAAAATATGTGTTTGATCAGATGTTTAAATCTAAAAATCTGTAATCTGTGCATACAGATTCTTGGTTTTAAAAACTCTGAAAAATCTGTAGAAATACAGAATTTGACAGTGAGCATGCATAAGAGCGCTCCCATAGCTCAGTCGGTAAAGCCGCAGCTACAAAACAAGACCATGCTGGATGTGACTGGGTTCGATTCCCGGTCCGGTCTAGGAATTTTTCGGGTTGGAAAATTTCTCGACTCCCTGGGCATATAGAGTATGATTGTACTTGCCACACAATTATACTAATGCAAAAATGGTAGCAGGCATCGAAAGCTCTCAATTAATAACTGTGGAAGTGCATCTAGAATACGAAGTTGAGAGCACGCAATAAGCTAATATGCCATAAGCAATAAGCTTGAAATGCGAAGAAGAAGAAAGATCCATAAGGGCGAATACGCGATGATCGATTCTCTTCATCGATTTTCTCTTTGCATTGCTACAGCTAAGCGAAACAATTTTCTAGAATTTGTTCAATGCAGAGTAGTAACAGGTTGTATTGGCTATCAAAAGCAACAGCAAACGCACCGAGAAACGTTAAATCTAGCGAGTTATTATTAACAAAAGAGAAAATCGACGAAGAGAATCGATCATCGCGTATAGGCCCTTATACATGCTCACTGTCGAATTATCTGTAGTTTTGGTAACCCTGCTCCTCTCCCCTTCTGTTTGGAAGCTTTCTCAGCTCTGTCAATAACTGTCCGAAATGCATCCACCGTCGATCTCCCTTTCCGGAATCTGAACTGCCCCTCCGACTAACCGTGTTCACTCTCCGTGCATTTCGTCAGCCTGTTCAGGATGATCCTCTCCAAGAGCTATGTGTGTGTGCGCGTGTGTGTGGGGGGTCGGTGTGTCATAATTTGGGGCCCCGTGCTTCTCACCAACCACTTGATGGAATTAGATGCAACAAGAACCAGATGAAAGGTATTATGGTTCCTTCTTGTCACATGTTCAAGTGAATACGGTGCATGAACGTAAAACCGCAGTTTTCCCATAGCTGTCTACATCAGCAGTCGATTTTTTATTTTGGTGTGAACCACGCGATAGCCTGTTTTCGAGACTCGCTATTATATAGTTACTCTTTGTTCGTTGCTAGCAGTTCGGTGCCTTTTGTTGCTACGGTGCAAGATGTGTGAAATAAAAAAACACCATCAAGTTTAGCTTCAGCCATGGTGATGCTAAACCAAACATCGGAGAGATTGTAAATTTCGCCAAAGCACTCGACGCGGATCCGACTGAAACTATTGAATTCCTATTATTCGGAAGAAAAAAGACGCACATTGACACTAAAGACTGCTTGATAAAAATGATTGGTTACAAGGTACATTTGAGATTCCACGACCCAAAAGCTCTGGACCAGATTCCACGACCCAAAAGCTCTGGAGTGCAGAATCTTTGTGAAAAAAATCAAAGAAATAAAGGATTGATAAAAAAAAAATAATTAAAACTGTGACTAATTCTAGCATTTTTACTAAAAAAAATCAGAGTTCAGAGCGGTGTTGATTAATCTTTTAATATGCTTTTACAAGAACATTCAAATGCACATTTGATCTGTATCAACACTGATCTGGCAACATTAGTGTGTATCTTTTCAATGTGGTAAAGATTCAGATCAGCCCTGGGACCTGGTAGCCTAATTAAACTATCACAAGGATTTACCAAAGCCCAGGGATTTAGTACATCACGTCAAATTGAGTAAAAATTAACCCCCTCCTCCCTTTCGTCACGTTTTTTCCTGTACTGAGAACGTTGCTTGTCGCAGATTTCAAAAGCCCCCTCCCTCCTTAGAGCGTGACGTACTTTATAGATACCCTTTTACCACCGTTTACAGTTGCAAAAACGAAATTAAAATTGAATGGAGTTTCTCTAAATATTCCAACAAAGGCTTTTACATCCACGTGCTTTACTGAATAAATACAATCGTCGTAAAAACTATAATAATTCAACATCATGTTTTGTATTCACTTCTATATTTACGTCTATATTCACGTATTGTCCTTTTTTTCTTTATTATCAAGACTTTCTCTCGAAGCTTATCTTGTCCCTCATTCAACTATCAATCTTTATTATAGGTATATAAATATAAACATATAAATCTATGCTTTCTTTTCAAGGTAATATATAGTTGTATAAAATTGCTTTCAACTTTTGGGTAAAATAAATACTTGTTTTCAATCCATAATTTTTATAACTGGTTTTCTATATCATAGCTATATCACACTGTCTACAAAAACATAAATATAATCTCGGGTATAATAAATAGAACATCCATAAATTAAAAAAAAAAAAACATTAAATGGAATAGAGAAAGAGAGAATATTAGTACAAGACACTGAAGAAGTCTGCACATTGTAGACGAAATACGCGTATCCGTTAATGATAAGCAATCAAGGTAGTGGATTAAAAGGAAATTACTAATCCTTCTCTCTTTCTTTACATAGGTATTCCACTATAGACGCCCACATGAATCAGGAATGGAGTAGAGTTTTGTGCATCTTTGCAAAAACACATATCAAGATGGTGATTAGCAGGTTTGAATATTCGCACCTTAGCAATTAACATTTTTATCGATATAAGATTACGAGGACATTTTAAAACTAGGTATGAATGGAAAAATCGCTTGATATATTCACACCTAACAAAAGATGTGTGTTGGGTGTCAAGTATAAGAGAGAAGCGTATCAGTTTGCTTTTGGGTCGATGCGATTGCATAGCTAGAAACAAGGTATCAAAACAGTTTGTTTTAAATTCGTTATATATAACACTCTAAAATGTGTGCATCGTATCCTAGAAGCGGTACTGTAAACCGTCCTAATTCAACGCACCGCAGAAGCGGCGTATTAGGATGGAAGTAAGGTCTAAAACCCTATGATGGCAACAGTTATCACCCAGATTATGTATTTCATTTGCTGGATCCTTAAAACATCTTTGTAGCTTGATTTGACTGATAAACGTCCTGTCAACCAATAAAGGTCTCAACGATTTCTCCTCATTCTTATTAAACCGATTTCGATTTTCGTTAGAACCTGATTCGATATGAAGAAATCCATTCTGCATCTATAACCATGGTATTAGGTGATAGATTGATGTGACTATTTTATGGATGTTCCAAAAACAAACAGATCGGAGCTCATGAACAAACATTTAAAACAGTTGCCACTAAATGTGCAATTTACTAGTATAATCAAAAAGCCACATGTAGGTATAAACGATTTAGATTCCTATGTACTACAGTGAATAAATAACAACAATCATAAGCAACTTTGAGATAGAAACCAAACATTGAAATAGAGCTAAGGCATTTCCGAGTTTATTCTGCGTTTTTATTGTTACTTAGTACTCAACAACAATGTTAAACTAAATTTAAAGAAAAAGGCTTATATTTATTGAATCACATTCAGTTACAAATTTTGCTTTTGCTTAGTAAGGTACCTTTCATAAAACAACTTGGCAATTTCTGGAGGACACTTTTATTTGAGAATAGTCGTTACAAAATTGCATATCGCTTATTAATCATTTTACCATTTTTCGAAAAACTATCTAATGGAATGGATGTAACATTGTTTCAGGTTGACTATAGGTATTTATTTTAGAGGTGTTGATCAATTTTATCGTTTCAAGAATTGTTATGAAACGAAATAGAACAAAAAATATCATAAAACCATATTCACGTTTTCTTATAGTCGCAACACCGTTAAGGCATCTTGGTGTAGAATTTTCGTTTTTCTAATCAGTCTGCTTTCCCCTGCTAACAAAGCAGAATCTAGAATGTATGACGTATAAGGCGAATGTATTAAATTACTTCGTAGGGTGCCGAACGTCTTAAGCTGGCCTGTCTATTCAAAGCAGGGAGCAAAAAAAAACATTCAACGCTCATTTTCTGCTACAAGCTACATCACGTCGACTGAAAGCCTCCTAAATAAAGCTAAATTAATTACATCACGTCTTAGAGCATATTTTAGGTTGTCCCGCGATTAATTTTCTTAAGATAAACCTAGTGCTTGGAAAATAGGAATCTACACACCCTTCTCCTGCTTAATCCGTTTGTAGCCCTATGTCATTACACCGAATGTATATTCTACAAACACCATTGAATTGAGAAAAGGATGATCAGTAAAAAGTAAAATTTCATTTGCTTGCTTATTTATATTCAGTAAAACGATATAAGGCGTGTTGTATCACAACTGTGTAAGCGGGACTTCTAAACAAAGTAAAACAAGAAACATATACATAATTAAAAACCTACTGACTTTGGAACTCGCTCAATCTGAAACTAAATATGTTCCAAGAAAAGTAATACCCATGTTCAATAGATCAATACTTGAAGAATATTTTGTAGAATATTAGGTGTGAAAATAACATAATGTTGTATTTTGTACAACGCGAGTCCTCGTGTTACAAAAGTTGACGCGAGTAAAGAGCCTGAATTTATAAAGAGACGACATCTTATCCATTTGACAGGTCTTCTGCTCGATTGGAATGACTTTTCGTATGACTTTGACAGATAGTCGATTGTTCCAATTTTGACATGTCGTCTCTTTATAAATTCAGGCTCTTTAGACGCGAGTACTGAAAGGTTAATAAAGAATTAAAAAAAAAGTCTGCGGGACTCAAGATCAAAGACATGGCAAAAAGTCAAAAAGACAAAATGTCGACAGGTCTGGTGCATTTGGCATAATGGACACTTGGCATAATTTGTATTATTCGATATATGTTTGAAAGTTTTTGAGAGTTAATTTACAATATATGATTGTTCCTTCTTTTAATTGCTGCTCGTTCTTACACAATATCCACGTTCTTCCATTTCCGGACGACGCCCCTGTAAATAGTTCTCAAAAGTGACCCAACTGGAAGAAGAGGCGCGCAGCGGGCAAGGTGAATCGACCAAGTAGAAGGCGATCTGCAGACCCTTCGGAGACTACGATGCTGGCGACGTGGATCGAGTAGAGTAGAGACGATTTCTTCGGACAGCAGAGGGCAACAAGGCGTTAGCCTGATTGTCAAGGTAAATTACGTTCTTCCATGGTAATTAAAGACTTCGGAAGACCTGCTCATGTGTGAAAATGTCCGTTATGCCAAATGTCCGTTATGCCAAATGTCCAGTATATCAAACGTCCTTATGCCAGATAAGAAGTTTCAAAATGAAAATATCTCAGTTCCTATCACGTCAAATGTATGTTACGAAAAAAAATGTCAAGATAATGTTTTCCCTGTGTTTGAAGCTGCTCTCAGAATACAGTATACTTTTTCATTTCAAACTTTAACAAACCAAACGGGATACCATTTAACGCATAGGACTCTTTATTACAATAGACATAGTAAATGTTTTTTTTTCTCTCTTTTTTTAATTGTGTTTCAATTTTACATTTGTCATTGATTATTGGTTTAGAATTTTCGTCATTCTAAGCAGTCTGCTTTCTTCAAGTTACCAAAGCAGAATGTAGAATCTGTAAAGTGTACTGCTTTGATACAATATTATACATACCCTGGAAAGGTAATATTTATTATACTATCCAACGCAATTTTCCATCACACATTATCTATTTGACCATCAAATAAGAGCGTCAAAACTGTTCCTCTTTCTTTATCTTTCCTTGCGCCAGTTTTGTAAAGCAGTCACTGGAGCTAACCTTATGGACACAAGTGTGGATGAACACTCAGCCTACCGCCTTAGTGCGCGCTTTTAACAAAGCGATGCGTTAGATTGAATATAAAGAAAAATAATAACAATAATTCTTATTTTCTTTCCGATCCGCTTGACACAACGGTTACATTTTGGCCTTACTGCATATCATATGCCGGTTTCAGCTAGTGTAACCGATTCCAACTACTTACCGGTCAACACAGCCCGTTTCTCATCTACCAAAATCTTGTGTATGAAAATATCCTCGTCAGTCGAAACGTCAATTAACATTAAATCAACGATTTCCTCATTTGGATTAATTTCGTCAGTTAGAATATTGCAGATGTAACTAGCAAATTTCTTATCAACGGTAATTTGCTGGAATCGAACTGCGTCCTCCGTGCTCCAGTCGCCGTGTAGGGGTTGGATACCTATGAAGACATAGTGAATTAATTCCATGAATTCTTTAAATTCATAACGAGTTCGTACCATGTAATTTAGCTTTCACGGCCTGCTGCGGAAGAATGCGTGATTGGGGAGGAAGAATTCGCAATGATTCACTGTCCACAACTCGAATTTGCCCAAAGTCACAAAAGTAGACATGGATGGGTCCACACAGAATATTAACCGCCAAAACTCTGAAAAGAAGGATTAATAATCAGTATTTCTTGCCTCATAACTTTCTAGTACAAATACTAACCTATACCAGTGACCATCATCGGTATTGTAACCTGCATACACTTCTCCCTGCTGAACACTATCCTTCGGCACGGGTTGTGCTTTGGTTTTACAGTATGCTTGTAAATCGACCATCATTTGGTTCAATTCTTTTGCGTGCATATATGGTTGCACAATGAAATAGTTAGGATTGGAGGCGATTGTAACAAATACACCAAACAACTCACCAACAGCTGGCAGAGGATATTTTGCCAACTTGGGAGTTACCTGCGATGGAACTGGGCTGCTAAGCTTACGTTGTTCAATATTAAGTCCTCTGAAACTTTTGGACAGCTCTGCTGCTTCACAACTTTCAATGGAGTAGTCTGTTACAAAGCTCGTATTTAACTTGACAGAACTGCCGATCGATGTGTTACTACTTTCATATGCAGCGATTCGTGGGTTACTAATCACTTCTGAACCTATTTCCAATTCCATCTCTGATCGAATACTATCGTTGACACAAACCAGTATATTATTCTGCTCGAGGTGCATGTAGATCTTTACCAAAGGTATGATCGACAAGGCAGCCAACTTAACCTACAACAACCTTTCAGTAAAAATCGTTTATTTAAAAGCAAATCCATGTACTAACCATAGCAGTAAGTCCCGTTTTTAGTAGAACGCGCATCCTAGACAGCAGGTAGTCAGTTACGTCAGGAATATCAAACATTTTCATTCTGACGGCTTGGGTAGGGTAACGGCTTAGAGCAACACTCAACGTTTCCAAACGATAAATGTTCGAAACGTTGACAGACTTTTTGGCCCCTATGTCAACATACAGCATTCGGCAAAACGGACCAGATTCTTCTGCCTCCAATGACGCCCGATACCATCGTTTATCCTTTTCGTCTTGTACCAAGTACAATTGCTGTTCAGCGGATTTTACTTTGTAAAGGCCACGATGTGTCCCATCCAATGCGTTCGACTTTACCAAATTGTTTATGAGTTTCTGCCACAAAATGATATAGGTAAGTATTTATTGTTAATTTCTACTGTATTAATTGGTACTGACCTGTATGTAAACCATTGCGTCATCTTTGAGCTGACAGTATACATCACCGGAATCATCGACGTGCGTGACGATCACTGTGGTTACGCCTTTTCGGTTCAATTCTGGCACAGGTGTATCATCACAAATATGTTTTAATATCACCGGGTTCAAGTTAACGTCTTCGTCAGATGAAGTATCGTACAGAATCATTTTGATTCGGACATCACCGAAACTACCCACACCATCTTTTTCATACTCTTTTCTCTGAGTAAGAATTTCGCCGATGCATACCTTTCCGCTGATCAAGTTATCCAGGTGTGATTTTGCTTTCGGGTTTTCGCCGAAATCTTCGAGGCCATCTAGGGTGAAACACACTGATTGTCCTGGCAGTTTCAAATATTTTGCATCGCACACATAGATCTCATCCAATGCTACGCGTTCCCACTCGCCGATGTCAATGAAAAAGCAAATGCAGTAATTACTTCCGAAATCGATCCCTTCAGCTCGTACGCGATACCAACAATCAGTGGTGGACACCAAATAGTACTCTCCGACTGCAACGGTTTTAGGCTTGCGCTTATCATCGCCCATCATGCTTAGCTCTATATCCGTTATAAGTGCGTCCATTCGGTCACTAAATTGAGGACCAACAAGTCGCGCCCATATTTCCACTGTTGAAACCGGATTAGTAATGTATAGATTCCAGTACTGCTCGCTCCACGGAAGTTGGAGCACATTAGCAGCCATGCTTTTTGCTTCCGAAGTGATCGAAGGCGAAGAATTATTGGAACCATTTTCTTCGCAAACATTGGCAAACACGATTGTTTCCTCCTTGGAGAACATATGAGTGTGTGACATAATGATGAATTCCCAGTGATCCGGTAGCAACACTTGATGTGCTTTCCTGAAAGCTTCGGGAATATTTTTGGTGAACATTCCGTGAGGATACTGAAGCAACAGCTCGTGGATTTTTGTAGCGATTTCGTAATCCGAATCGAGACAAACGGAATAATTATTTCGCTCTTCATCACGTTTGATATTCTCGATAGCAATTTGGGCTGCGGTAAATTGACCCTCGAACTCGTTGGCGATATCTTCCGGATATGTAGAGTATGTTGAACCGTTCACCTAGTGACAATTACAAAATAGCTTTAGTTCTGCAAAATTATAGTAGAGATCTACAGTATGCGCCATAAAAAAATGCAACCTTTTTCATACAAAATGTATGCAGATATTCGCATTTTTTTTTGCGCATTCTGTAATATCACTTGATCCACCAACACAAAACTGGCTTTCTTCCTATAAACCCAAATAATTATTGACTACACACACACAAAACACAAAACATGGTTCAGAATGCTATTCTACTTTACATAAGATGTATCAAAATAAATTATACGTTCCATACAATCACCCATATCCTCGTTTCCGTCCCTTTTGTTCGTTTAAAAAAATATCTACCTATGTCTTTCCTATTTTGTAACGCTTTACAGCCAGTCATAAAAAAGTATCTTAAAAAATACATTTACTAGGTTTACCAACATATATCGACTATTTTTCTCTGTATCTTGTCAGTTTAAGCTTTATCGCTATAACCAGTAGGTATAAATGAAGATTTTGTATTTGATTGGAAACGTTTAGTTTCCAACGTGTCGTTTAATATGAAATTATAAAACCCGTTTGCGAGCTTAGCATTTACAAAACATAGATTTATGGTTTTCATTGCAATTTGCACAATAACATTTTGTTGATTCGTACTTCACCTACTTCACAGAACAGTTGCCTTGACGCAGGGTTGCTACTCAATCTACGAAATTAAACACCCGGTTTTCTCCCGTTTTTTTTTCCTGGTTTCCCAAAATATGTTTCCCGTCTTCATATTAACAGCTCGGGTAATACCGGCATGATTTAAAACACTAAGTTTGAGAGCACGCAATTAACTAACATGCGATAAGCAATAAGCTTAAAATGCAAAGAAGATAGGTATGTCGGTAGAGATGAACTAGCCTTCGGCTAAAAATCTCTTAAATAAAGAATTTAAAAAAAGGTATGTCGGTATGTCGGTATGTACCTAATTAATTAACGCGCTTTTATTTCCAAACGGATTTAACATTTAAAAAAATGTGAGGAAAATCCGTTTCAATGGAATACAGGAAAAGGGATATCCTTGCCCAAAAAGCTACGTTATAACATGTCAACCCTGTTTATAGTTATCATCGCGTAACTTGATATATCAAATAGTCACATGTCAAGATTTATGTTAAAAACCGCATATCAGACCTATCAGACAGGGTTGTCCATGACGTTACTGCGTCGAAGTAACGTCTGCAATGCAAAGTCCTATTAAAGTTGGCCCAGACGTTAACGGCGTTAATGTCAATAACAAAACTGATATCAGCACATTAAAGACCCAAACGCAATGTGGGCGGAAGCGGAACGGAAACGGAGAGTTTGACAGTTGTCACAAATGACACGAAGATGCCTAATCGAAGTCGATTTGATTCTAACTAGTTTTCAATCCGTTAGGCTTTTCCGCTGCCGCAGCCGTTCCGCTTCCGCTGTGTTCCACTTCCGCTGTGTTAAATAACAGAGTAAATAAATACCATTACGCGGCATTGTATACGCATGTTGCTCAATTTGAAGTACGTGTACATGGGTCGAGGAAGATCGTTGTACTTTGCATATTTATACAACATCTCTACCGGTGTCGCCAACGGTTGATTCCAGTTAAAAGGTTCTTTCGGACGATTTGGATTCGTTGCAGCAGGTGGTGTTAATGGAACAGGCGTCGGGGACTATTAGGGTGAAATAATACAAACATGACAAGAAAAGATGTGATACTTTTGGAGTTATCAGCACTAACCTTGGAGTCCAAATCAGCTGGTTTAAGTGCAGGTGAAAGCGGAGCAACTACTCTAGCCGCTTTTTCCAAATCTGAGCTATCAACTTGCTGGTGTATCTTGAGTCGATCTTGCACTGTTTTGGGAGCAGTTATTGTAGATACCACGGAAGTTGGCGTAGATGGTATACTGTTCGGATGAATATCAACACGCATCGTAACATCATATACAGGATAAACCTTGGTCATTTCTGGAGTAGGAGGCGATGTAGGTGTTACATCCTTCGTCACTTGTAGTCTGGAATTTACGCTCCGATTTTCCTCTGTTGACTGTACAGCAGGTGCCATGTGTGTCGGATGAATCTGATTACTAACGATGACATCAGACATCACTTTCTGAGTAGCATCTTTAACTGAAGATTTCATTGGAGTAAAGCTGTTCGAATCATTTCCATGCTCTGTCAACCGAACCGGCTCTTGTTGATTAAGTCGATTTTGTAATTCCAATGCAGAAGACTGTCTCTGATACTGCTGAGGACCTCGTTCGTTGAGTTTGTGTCGCAGATCATTTGAAAGAAGCGTCGCTTGGTTCGGTTTAGTAGGGCTTTGCGTGTTCTTGTTAAAGTTTTTGGCAGTGGAGTTATTATTATTTGGCTCGATTCGGCTGTACCGTTGACTGGTCTGATTTAGTTGAGCATTGTGGAACTTGTTATTTTGTGTTGACGGTGGCACAATTTTGAGTGACATTAGAGGCCTAAGCGGATTACCGTTGCTGTTGTTATGTGGGATATTGTAACGAATGTTATTCGACCAGTTTGTAGCAGAATTCTGAAAGAACGGCTTCAAAGGATTGTTTGTATTGTTGTATCGCTGTTGGTACTGGGTTTGAGATTGTGGGAGATATCTTCTCTTGTTCGGCATTTGGGAATACATTTTGTTATATGCACTCGGGTTCCAATTATTTCCTCCCGTTCGTTTCTGTGGCTGCCGCAGAATTGAAAATCCTGACTTTCTAGTTTTCGTACCCTTCTGTGCTGCAACCATTTTGAGAATATGTGCTGATTCCTTGCTAGGTTTGACGAATACAACGGTCTAAAATGAAATTTGCGAAAGAATAAGAGAAACGCGACTTAGCTTAATAAATTTCTAACTTACCTCGCCCATCCTGTTCTGCACGATGAATTCCCCAGTTGATTTAAGGAAATCGTCGGCATTGGCGAAACCAAATTTCCTGTACATGAGCGGCCCACCTTCCAGTTCACGATAATCATTCAATATGCTCTGCACGGTAGACGCTCCTTTTTTGGAGGAAACTAAAGCTCGAAGCACTGAAATAGCAGCTTCAGCCTCCTCTGAGAGTTCTTTCTTAGCAACGTTGGCCATTGCGTTTTGCAGCTCAGTATGAAGTCACTGCCACGAAACCCAATAAAGGTTAGCTAAATCTGTAAAACGGAGATCTGGATAAATATCTAAATAATAAAGCAATGGAAAAAAAACTAACTTTACTGCCCGGGAAACATATTACTTCAATATTTAACACATATGTTGAAGATAACATAAGCCTTTCTACCTACGCAGTATAAAATTAATCTATAACCAAAAAAAATGACTGAAGACTGTCATTAGTCTTATAACGTGTACAGGGTTGTTACAGAAATCTATGTTGCCAATAAGAATCAATACTCCCTAAATGATTCCATGTGAAAAACTATTGAAAAAATTCTATTTTATATTATTTACGGAAAGATGCTAACATCGAAACCATGCAAAAAAAAATCGTCTGGAGCTAGAACCCTAGAACGACATAATATTATTTACAAACATTCCAGCATGTAATTTCATCAAAAGTACACACATAGATTTTTTTGTCGAGATAGGCACCACCGAGCAGCTCGGCAATCTATTTTGCTGGATGTCAGTGAAAAATTTGCCGAGATTTGGTTAACAAATGGAAATTTTGCCGAGATATCGGCTAACAAACATAAATTTTGCTGAGATCTCAGTAAAAATAAATGTCAGGTCTGCTCGGTGGTGCCAATCTCGGCAAAAAATCTAAGTGTGTAGCATAATTAAAAAAATATATTTAAAATGTTTAGTTTTCTTTTTCAAATTGAAATCCATCTGTATTTTGAATCCACAGCTGGTTTTTACCCTTTTTTACGCTGCTCGTATTCCCGCGTAAAAAGCGACTTCAGTGTATATTTAAAAAAAATCTAAAGACAACCTCAAAACCACAGACAAACAGACATAACACATTGAATACTTTTCAATTTAAAAAATCGTTGCTAAAACACTACCGCCATCTGTTGAGTATACTGTGATGGGTAGTACGCTGAACAGATGGCGGTAGTGTGTAAACGTCAAACGCAAGGGTTATTGACTATGCGCGCCACAGGTGGCGGTATTACCAACTAAAAACATTTAAATTGACCGTTAAATGCGTGTTCGATGAACAAATTGCCAGTGTTATGCCTGTTTGTCTGTGTCAAAACTATTATAGGTAATAATGGCCTAAGCCTTAGGGCCTATTTCTTCTCACCTCCGCTTACACATTAAACCAGGTTTAAGATTTTACCCTTTTAGTCTAAATAGTACTTGGCAATGAGAGTTTTTGCAAAGTCTGTGAGTAATTGTAATAATGTTGAGTCATAGAATTACGAAAATTTTAATGTGCATCTGAAATGTCCCAGATCATGAACATATCCCCAAGTCTGGGATGTTTAAATAAATGTGTTCCTAAAGTGGAACAGATTTTTTTAAAGTTGACTTTGGATCTTTCAATTTGTTCCAAGCTGTTTAACATTCTTAATAACACAGTTAGGCACAAAATCATACTTTCGGATGTAGGGGAAATGGCTCTAATGTTGTCCTATGGATTTTAGATTGGGCCTATAGCTAAACATCTGCTATTTATCAATTTTATCTAAATGCACGCGTCATTGGGACGGTAGTAATGGATATTTTAAGTCGCTATTGAAAATTTATGCATGGGCCCAAATTAGGAGCATTTAGGCTGACATAACATTCATTTCCCCATCATTAATTTTTCTAACGTTTATAATTTCAGATTAACATGTTTTGGTTTTGAGATAATTAACCTGAAATGTATTTTAACGGCTAGCGGATTAGCGATTTAGCCGCTAAATCACATTAAGAGTTTATGAACATAAAATTAAAAACTTAAATCAATAAAATTTTACCACTGGATAATATAACCAAACATATGATGAATAACTGTTTGCCTCAATCTCAAATTATTAATATTAGAAAACATAATGCTTTATAGGACCGATTTTAGAGCCCACCACTACTTAATAGGTATCTGCAGATGCACACTAATAGAATTCCACACATTTTTAATAGCGAATTTCCATGTAAAATTCCACATGATTTTTACATAAACAGAATTCACATAGAAGCACATATGAAATGTATGAGTCAAATGAATAGTATTTGTGGTTACACATGGCTTTTATGTGTACACATATTAAGTATGTGCCCGACACATAGATATTATTTGTTGATCACATTGCAAAAATTCATGTGTGGGACACATAAAAACAATCTTCGAAATTTTATCAGAGTAGATTCTCAAACAATTTATTGTCTAAATCTAATATCTTCAAAATTTTCTTTGGAACCATAACTTTTAAGTCAGGATTTTCAAACTCTTGATGTTTAGGAAAAAGAAACTATTTGAAACAACCATACGAGTAGTATATATACGGATAATCTATGTTTTTATACAGATATTTGCCTATGTTCTCGTTTTCGTTCGAACCGTATTTTCCATACAAAAAAAAGTTTTTTGTATGGAAAATACGGTTCGAACGAAAACAAGAATATGGGTGATTATCCACTGTTTTCCAGAGTCACAACTCCACAGCATTCACAAATACAATCATTGTAGTTTTAATGTTTTAAGTTATTGGAGCCCAGCAGCTTCAGAAGTTCAGGGTATGGTAGAAGGTTAGGTTAGGTTAACTTTATTAATGAGACTTTCAGTCGTGGACTGGTTCGTCTCTTAGGGGTATGGTAGAAAGAGTGTAATATGAAATACTAATTATTATTTCAAACTCAACTATTACCAAGCAGGACCCAGTAAGATGGATGAATAATCCATGAACTTTTATTAGAACTTAAAGGCATATGATTAATTTTCCTGCAATGAAATATATTTAAAAAATTGATGATATTTGATAACATTTACTTCTTCTTTTAGGCTAGACGAAAGAGCTTCTGCAGCGAACATTATGCCGGCCAGCTCTCAACTAAGTGTTCTAGGTGCACTTCCACAGTTATTAATTGAGAGCTTTCTATGCCAACAAATGCATGAATTTTTATATTGTTTCAAGCACAATGATACGCAATGCCCAGGGAAATCGAGAAAATGTCCTACCCGAAAGATCATTACCTCGGTCGGACAGGGAATCGAACACGCCGGTAATACCGTGCCTTTACCGACTAGGCTATCTGAGGCCCCATTTACTTAATAAGTATTATTATTATTCACAATATCAATCAGAAATGTGCGAACCGGCATTTTTTTTTTTTTAATTATAGTCACTTTAACGCTCTTGGGTCATTCGTGACTTGTCCGGGGGTGAGATTTGAACTCGTGACTTTGGAGTGAGAGGTATGGATGCTAACCACTACGCCGGGGTCGCCCCCCTCTCATTAGCAATAAATCCACGTCTTAAGATAGGGTCGTGATAGGGTAAAATGGACAGGTATGTGGAAGAAAAGTCTTGTAAATGTTATAATATGAACCTATACTTCTGATTTGTGGATTTCATATGAGGATCATTCATGCATAACTAACAAGTTGGAATATCATGAAATATATGAGTAATAAATAATCTACGTGAAAATAATGCTGAATAATGGTAAATCTTTTATTATTTTAGCTGAGATCATTTTACCGGCAAATGTTTAATAGTTGGTGTGACCAATTGAATAAAAGGTGAATTCAGAGTTGAAACATAAAATATAGCAATGGTTTCATTTTCTGTTATAAGCTTTCCACAAATCCGCGACATAGAGCTATAAAAACGCGAAATGATATTCTGTCCATATTTATTCCTCCACACCAGCTTAGCATATAATAAAAGATAATCATCCTACAAAAAGTATACTATCCTACATACTACAAAAAAAAACAATATGTTTAAACTTTATTATGAAGATTTTCAGCCAACTGGCTAGTTTATCACCGACCTACAAACAAATTCACTATTTTTTTTTATTGCGTTTATTTCCCTCTTGCCTATTAGACATTGCTTGAGGCGATGACCATTATTAACAATTAGATCCCTTCCCGCTTTTATTTTTCAAATAAAACGTATTATCCCCTATTTGATAAGTTTCATTATTTTCATCTAAACGATCTGTTTGCTGACCAGTCTTCTGGGTGCACTGATCAGCACGTACTTTCTTTTTTTCGTTCTCCCTGTGTTTCGACAGCCGGCGTTTGTTGGTATTTTCAATGAAATCCTTTGTTGCTATTTTCAATGAAATCCTTTGTTGCGTTTGATGAGCTGGTGCTAGAGTTTTCGTCGTTGCTTTCAACGTTTGAAGTGTGATGATCCTCGGTTTTATTGTCGGTGTTTCGCTGTTGTTCTTCTGCTGAGAACCCGGTGAAAGCAGGAGATGATTAACCCGATGTCGTTGGCTGGTTTTGTTCGATATCCATCGACGGGAAATCATCGAGACTGAATACCCCCTCGGTTGGTGGAGCTGCTGTCAAGGGGCCTCATAGCCTAGTCAGTAAAGGCACGGTCAGGCATGGAAAATCATTTGCATTCATTTCGTGCATTCATTTACATTCATTTGCCCCTAACTTTTTTCATCAACAGAATGTATGGAGCTTTTGTTATTAGCTACAAATTAGCTACAGCAACTCAAATCCTTATCTCTTATGTATGACGAACCAGAGCGAACAGAAGCCACTACTGTTTTTCAGTGAATGTATTTTACATCCACTGAAAAACAGTAACAAGTTCTGCCCGCTCTAATTCGTGATGCATAAGAGATACAGATTTGAGTCATGGGCAAAAGTTGTAGCTAATAACAAAACCTACTAAAGCTCTATACATCATTTTGCAGATTGCTGTTGACGAAAAAAGTTAGAGGCAAATGAATGTAAATGATTGCATGAAATGAATGTAAATGATTTTCCATGCCTGGGCACGGTATTACCAAGCCGGAGGCGGCGGGTTCGATTCCCGGTCCGGTCGGGGGGGGGGGGGGGGGGGGAATCTTTTTCTCGTCTTCCCTGGGCATAAAGTATCATTGTGCTTGCCACACAATATACAAATTCATGCAATTGGTATTGGCATCGAAAGCTCTCAATTAATAACTGTGGAAGTGCATTTAGAACACTAAGTTGAGAGCACGCAATAAGCTAATATGCACTAAGCAATAAGCTTGAAATGCGAATAAG